TTACATAGATAATATCCACCCTCTCCTTTCCACCGACGATTATCAACCTGTTGTTTGCCCAGAAAACCCATCTCCCGTTTCGTCTATTAAAAAGTCCTCCCCCCGGTGTTTTCCGGTGACCCCATCACCTCTTATTCCCCCACAAACTTCAACCAATAAGCTGATATTAAAAATTCTGTTTACCTTTTTCTGGGGTCCTGAAAATAACGTTGAAGTGTTATTTTTCGCTCATGGTCTATTTTTAAAAAGCAATGTGCGAGAAATTTACATAAATATACCATTTTTTCGGGTGGCTGAAATGATTGTAGTTTATCGCCGACGCAAGACTCTTGAATCTACAGTTGTGAACGTATAAAGTCATGCGACACGCGGAATCTCCAGAGTCATATTTTTTTATAATTTATTTAATTCCTTGACAACCTTTGGAAAGAGGTTTTAATGCGTTGAGAAAACTTAATTCTAATTCTAATTCTAAGTTTTTCTTTCATTCTTCTTTCGGAACAAATTAATTTTCAATTTCATGTGCCAATAAAACTAAATAGTTTTCGTTAACGAAAATATCTGACATTGATTTAAATTAATTGATTGATTAACTAAATCATTCATTCATTCGTTTCCAAAAAAATTATCGGAAAGAATAGAAAATGCATTGAGAAAAATTAATTCTAATCGTAAGTTTTTATTTCATTTTTCTTTCGGAATAAATTAATTGTTAATTTCATGTACCAATAAAAATGAATAGTTTTCGTTAATGAAAATATCTGACATTGATTTAAATTAATTGATTGATTAACTAAATCATTCATTCATTCGTTTCCAAAAAAATTATCGGAAAGAATCGAAAATGCATTGAGAAAAATTAATTCTAATCGTAAGTTTTTATTTCATTCTTCTTTCGGAATAAATTAATTTTTAATTTCATGTGCCAATAAAAATGAATAGTTTTCGTTAATGAAAATATCTGACATTGATTTAAATTAATTGATTGATTAATTAAATCATTCATTCATTCGTTTCCAAATAAAAATTTGGTTGGAAAGAATAGAAAATCCGTTGAGAAAAATTAGTTCCGATCGTCAATTTTTCCACTCAAGAAACTATAATAGGGATGAAATAAAGTTCCCAATGCCTTTAGACATCCCCTCTGATATCAAATCGATTGTTAATCTGTTGATGTGAATCAGCGTGAAGGTATGAGTTCCAATAACTCGTTTGATTCAATTGTGCATGCGAAAAATTCAGAAAGTGATCGAACAGATGAATCATCCGACTAGACACTAATCGGAATCATAGGACAGAGAAAGAATGGCGTGGGATTCCGACTGTATACACTTATGTTTATCTAGAGCTGACAGATGTATCGTCACTTATCAGTAATGCAATGACATATGGAGAATGAGAATCCGCAGGGCAATGCAGGCCGGTTGCAATTATTAATAGAACAATTGTGATATCGGACGATAGTAGCCTTTGATATTCGCTGTATTCAGAACATGTGCTACTGTTGATCGAACTGATCGCCGAATGCGGCTATTATCCTTGCTGACAACCTTGTTAAGATTATTGGCAACTGTTAGAGGTGAATGGCGAGAGAAACTTTTTTCTCTCGGGTTTTCAATTGAAAGCCCAAGTTGTAGACCCGAGTTTGTAGCAGCGATGTCAGACCAGATATGAATGTTTTTTTGGGCTCAAATGAAAGAGCGGGTCGAGAAATGACGTGCTAGAGCCTCTAAACATGACAAATGTCTCTAAAGATGATATCTGTTTTCAATTGAAAAGCA